TGTCCCTTAAGAACGTAATAATTCGTAATATAAGTGTAAATAACTCACCGGCCACGCTACCAAACTTCCTCTCTCTACATTCCTTCAACTAAATAATCTATTCTATACTTTCTACTCTAAACCCCCCCCCTCATTACACATGAGATAATGAGGGAGGTGTGAGGCAGGTGAGGGGTGAGGCAGGTGATAGGCGAGGCAGGTGAGGGGCGAGGCAGGTGAGAGGTGAGGCAGGTGATGGGCGAGGCAGGTGAGGGGTGAGGGGCAGGTGAGGCAGGTGAGGGGTGAGGCAGGTGAGAGGTTTGGGGCAGGAGGTGTGGGGCAGAGGGGTGAGGCAGGCGAGGTGTGAGGCAGGTGAGGGGTGAGGCAGGTGATAGGCGAGGCAGGTGAGGGGCGAGGCAGGTGAGAGGTGAGGCAGGTGATGGGCGAGGCAGGTGAGGGGTGAGGCAGGTGAGGGGTGAGGCAGGTGAGGGGTGGGGCAGGCGAGGTTTGGGGCAGACGAGGTGTGGGGCAGGCGAGGGATGAGGCAGGCGAGGTGTGGGGCAGGTGAGGTGATATTGAGGTGGCGGTTAAATAATGTACAGGTAACATCCTTCCTCCCCTTCTACACTAACTACCACCACCACCACTACTACTATCAACCATCACCAACCACCATTACCATTTCTCACCACTATCTACCACCATCACCACCACCCATTAAATCCCTAGAAATCCTCTTTATAACCACCACTACCAACATCAACAGCCAAATCTCCCGGTGATTACAAACAAATCCCCTTCAATATCACGCTAGTTACCAGTTGTTATGGGGGTGAAAGAGGGTGAGGGGTAGGGGATGGGAAGTAGGTAGAGATGGAAGGGAAGGGAGGGATGGGGTAGGGTAGGGGAGGATTAGAGAGGGGGATTAGGGGAGGAAGGAGGAGAATCTTTACATCGGGAGGGGGGGGAGGGGACTTAATGGCATCGTTAGGAAGTGCCATAATGGGGGAGGGGGGGACAATGGCACCCAGTATGGCACTAGAAGGGAAGGGGATAGAATGAGTGCCACGAGTCATAATGGCACTACAGGAGTCATCTTTTTTCGGCTTAATGTGGCTAATGATGCATATAATTAACCGGACACTTCGCACTGCTCAACTATAATTAACCGGACACTTGGCACTGTTGAACTATAATTAACCGGACACTTGGCACTGTTGAACTATAATTAACCGGACACTTGGCACTGTTAAACTATAATTAACCGGACACTTGGCACTGTTAAACTATAATTAACCGGACACTTGGCACTGTTGAACTATAATTAACCGGACACTTGGCACTGTTAAACTATAATTAACCGGACACTTGGCACTGTTAAATTATAATTAACTGACATTTGGCACTGTTAAACTATAATTAACCGACACTTGGCACTGTTAAACTATAATTAACCGGACACTTGGCACTGTTGAACTATAATTAACCGGACACTTGGCACTGTTGAACTATAATTAACCGGACACTTGGCACTGTTAAACTATAATTAACCGGACACTTGGCACTGTTAAACTATAATTAACCGGACACTTGGCACTGTTAAACTATAATTAACCGGACACTTGGCACTGTTGAACTATAATTAACCGGACACTTGGCACTGTTAAACTATAATTAACCGGACACTTGGCACTGTTAAACTATAATTAACCGGACACTGTAAATTAACCTTACCTGTCTGTCTGTTTATTAATATACCTCACCTGTCTGTCGGTCTGTTAATAAACCTTACCTGTCTGTCTGTCTGTCCTAATAAAACTCGTCTGTGCGCCTGTTAACAATCCTTACTGCCATACCCGAGTCCAATCGACGAATTCGTTAAACGTTGGCGATTTTGGCGCTCGGGCAATACACGAAGCGTTGATAATTCTCGCCAACTTCGCGAAATTGCCAAAACACACACCTCACGTCTTTAATAGTGCCGCTCTCATCAATACTAAACCTTATTGTGATGTAAATTGAAGTAATAATCCCTCCTTCCCCTTAAGTCAATTTGCATATCATATAAACCTCTTATTTATCTATATACATTTTTCTCCCCGACATTAATTTTAAGTCATTGTTTACATTAATATACATCTTGTTTATATATATTTTCGAATTGTTTGTATATTGTTTTCTTGTTTATATTTCACTTTGTTTATATAAATTGGTTTGGTATAGTTTATATAATGGTCAGTCTCTTACCTACCCCCTCCTCCCCCCCCCCAGCACAACCGCCGCCTCTATAACTACCTACAAAACCCGTATACAAATAAGCCGTGTTATTTAGCCGGATTAATAATAACACGGCAGAGTAACCAACACCATCCACTTACTCTATGAATAAATTACGGGTCGCAGGCGGTGCAAATTATAGGGTGTCCGAACTACCTGGGACAATTCGGTGTGTGTGTGTGTGTGTGTTCTCTCTAGTTAGTGATTATGTGATAGACTGACACAAAGACACTCCTCCTCCTCCTCCTCCTCCTCTTTTCTCCCTTCCTCCTCTTCCTCCTCCTCCTCCTTCCTTCCTTCCTTCCTCCTTCCTCCCTTCCCTCCCTGACTGTCCTTTCTCCCTCCTCTTCCTGGCTGGGTTAGGTTAGGTGATGATGATTGATGATGATGATGATGATGATGATGATGATGATGATGATGGATGATGATGATAATAATAACATAACTGCATTTCTAATAACTTTCATTACTGGTATAACTATCATAATTATTACATTAATATTTTCATAATTATAGTAGTGGGTCTGTTGTCATTATACAGTAACTAGTAATTAATTATTCATCATACATGTATAATGAGACTTCATTTTCAATATTAAACTTTTCATTATTTATATTATTCTCGGGGTCATGGGGCAGGTGGGGGAGAGGGGGGGAAGGAGGGGGGGGAGGGGGGAAGGAGGGGAGAGGAGGTCGAGGAGGGAGGAAGTGGGAGGGAGGTTGGGCGGGATGGGTGGGGGGAGGGAAGGGAGGGGTGGGGAAGGGAGGCGAGGCGGGGGAGGATGGGTGAGGGGAGGGGAGGGAGGGAGGGATGGGTGGGGGGTGGAGGGAGGAGGAGGGTAAGTGACAGGAGGATGATAACTTGTTTTAAAGTGTCAACATTGTAGTGTAGGTGGGAGGAGCCCCAGCTGGTTGATAGTGCTAGGTACAGACACACTACATGTACTGCAGTTGACACTAATTACCACCACCACTAACAATAACTAACACCACATACACTGCTTTTCGTGTGTGTGTGTGTGTGTGTGTGTGTGTGTGTGTGTGTGTGTGTGTGTGTGTGTGTGTGTGTGTGTGTGTAAGTGTGTATGTCTGTGTGTGTATGTAAGTGTGTGTGTGTGTGTGTTCGTGTGTGTGTACCCTGTGTGTATGTCTAACAGGTAAAGCAGTGAACATCTAGAAGTAATCCATATTAATACTGTATCATTACGAAGGTCACCTGCTGATGTACACCTCACAGTTTCCTAATTAGAGGGAGGCACCAAGACCCCCGCCCCTGTACACGCTGCAGAAGGGGTGAGGTGCAGTGTGGCAGGCCTAGTAGGCACGTTTACGAGGGTGAGGGGTAGGGGTGAGGGGTGAGGGGTAGGGGTGAGGGGTAGGGGTGAGGGGTAGGGGTGAGGGGGGGTGAGGGGTAGAGGGTGAGGGTAGGGGTGAGGGTAGGGGTGAGGGGTAGGGGGTGAGGGTAGGGGTGAGGGGTAGGGGTGAGGGTAGGGGGTAGGGGTGAGGGTAGGTGAGGGTAGTGAGAGGAGAGGTGAGGTGAGGCAGACGGGTGAGGAGTAGGAGGGAAGTGGTGATGAGAGGGGAGAACAAGAAAGAGCAGGAGGGGGGGGTGAGGGGACAGGGGCGGGAGGGGTAGGAGGGGGGAGAGGAAAGGAGAAGAAAATAAGAGAGAAAAATAAAAAAAAGGGGGACAGAAACGAGGGTAAGGAGGGGAGTAGAAGGTGTCTGAGGGGAGGATAGCAGGGAAAAAATAAATCGGAGGAGGGGAGAGAGACAAGGTGAGGGGGGGGGGTAAGGGGGGGATAGATGAGGAGAGGAAGAGGAGAGTTAGGTGGGGGGAATGAGGGTAGGGGAGAGGAAAGTGCCTCACCACACCTCAAGAATGATATCAAAAGTCTACCTAAAACTTTCCTAAATAACTTCCCCTAAACAAATCGTAAATATATATAAACTTACGCCCAAACTAGACACTATCGTTGACTATAATAACCCGACCTTTGCAATACATAACTATACTCTAAACTGAAGCTAAATCCTTATATTCAAGTATTCCATTCAAAGGCTAATTTACATATCAAAGGAAATTACATCAGCATTCATTTGTTCATTCTTTTACAACATAACCTGTAAATGAGGTATTTTACATTAGGTGTAACTAGTGGAAATATTAACGTTAAGTGTGTATGTCACTTTTTACCTTTTAACTCTGGAGGTATTCGGTTATTATTATTATTATTATTATTATTATTATTATTATTATTATCGTTATTATTATTATTATTATTATTATTATTATTAATATTATTATCGTTATTATTATTATTATTATCGTTATTATTATTATTATTATCGCTATTATTATTATTATTATTATTATTACAACCACGACCAAATTTGATCACTAAGAATCAAATAATGATCAATTATAACCATAATAAAGGTAAGATAAACCAATTATCATAACCAAACATTGATCAGTCACAACCACAACCAAACATGACTCACCCAACCCACCAAACTAACTCCCCCACCAGGTAAATCTTCCATCACCTACAAGGGCTCACTCCGTCGTTGCTACATAATGGACTCTCCGTAGCAGAAAAAAGCTCCAAACTTTCCCTCGACTGCTACAACACTCTGACATTTATCTAAAGGTTAAATCTATACACTACATCACTTCAGTCTACAGGATCAGCCAATCAGGAGGATTATTTCATGTGTTTATTACCAATCATGCCACCAGGATGAACAGCCCACGAATCACAAGTAAGATTAGTCTCTCTCTCCATAACCAATCATAGGTCGGGTCATATTTGTCTCAGTAGTAACCAATCACAAGCAAGATCAACCTTTCCTCACCAATCACAAGCAAGATCAACCTTTCCGTCACCAATCACAAGCAAGATCAACCTTTCCGTCACCAATCACACACAAACACACATCTCTCAGTCAATCAATCACAAGCAAGCTCCATCATCCGAAGACCATTCACATGATCGCGTGGTGACATCAGGTGTGTTTCGACTCTCTAATGAACCAATAAGAATTCACGTCTCCACGATCGCCTATCCAATGAACCAATAAGAATTCAAGTCTCCGTGAGAAGTAAACTTTTAGAAGGCAAGAGTGACTTTCGGAGTGATTGAAATAAATTAAGTTAGCGTCGACACCACTAAAATGACGAGGGGGGAGGGGGGGCGTGTGAGAGGTGCAGGAGGTGGGGGTGTAGGTGGGGGAGGGTGTAGGGGTGAGGGGGTGGAGGTGTAGGTGAGGGGTGGAAGTGTAGGTGGGTGGGTGGGTGGTGGTGTAGGTGGGTGGGTGGAGGTGTAGGTGAAGGGGTGTAGGTGAGGGGTGGAAGTGTAGGTGAAGGGGTGTAGCTGAAGGGGTGGAGGTTTAGGGGAGGGGGGTTGAACTCTTCAGAAGGTATCGAGTATAAAGGGGATCAGAACCTCCTTTAGCAAAAATAAGTCTCTCTCTCATCCACCCACTCGACCAAACACACACACACACACCTACCCACACCAACCACCCAACCACACACACCCTCCCAACACCCACACATACAAGGCCAACCACGTAGAAGAAAAAAATATCCCAATTCACCAAAAAAGACAAAAATCTTTGGGTGATCCGATGGAAATTTAACGACCAGCCAGTCTCGTCTTCACCACAGTCTCGTCTTCGCCACAGTCTCGTCTTCGCCACAGACTCGTCTTCGCCACAGACTCGTCTTCGCCACAGTCTCGTCTTCGCCACAGTCTCGTCTTCGCCACAGTCTCGTCTTCGCCACAGACTCGTCTTCGCCACAGACTCGTCTTCGCCACAGTCTCGTCTTCGCCACAGTCTCGTCTTCGCCACAGTCTCGTCTTCGCCACAGTCTCGTCTTCGCCACAGTCTCGTCTTCGCCACAGTCTCGTCTTCGCCACAGTCTCGTCTTCACCACAGTCCCTGTCTTCACCACAGTCTTCTGCTCACCACAGTCTGTCCTCACCACAGTCTCTTGTCTTCACCACAGTCTGCTCACCACAGTCTCAAGTCTTCACCACAGTCTGTCTTCACCACAGTCTGTTCTTCACCGCAGTCTCTGCCTTCACTGCAGTCTGTCTTCACCACAGTCTGTCTTCACCACAGTCTTGTCTTCACCACAGTCTAGTCTTCACCACAGTCTCGTCTTCACCACAGTCTGTCTTCACCACAGTCTCGCCTTCACCGCAGTCTTGTCTTCACCCACAGTCTAGTCTTCACCACAGTCTCGTCTTCACCACAGTCCTCTGTCTTCACCACAGTCTCGTCTTCACCGCAGTCTCGCTCTTCACCGCAGTCTCTCGTTCTCACCGCAGTCTCGTCTTCACCGCAGTCTAGTCTTCACCGCAGTCTCGTCTTCACCGCAGTTCGTTCACCCGCAGTCTGTCTTCACCGCAGTCTCGTCTTCACTGCAGTCTTGTCTTCACCACAAAGTCTAGCTCTGCCCACAGTCTCACCTCACCACAGTCTCGTCTTCACCACAGTCTCGCCTCACCACAGTCTCGTCTCTCACCACAGTCTGTCTTCACTCTCACAGTCTGTCTTCTCACCACAGTCTCTGTCTTCACCATGTCCGTCTTCACCACAGTCTCGTCTTCACCACAGTCTAAGTCTTCACCACAGTCTAGTCTTCACCACAGTCTCGTCTTCACCCCACAGTCTCGTTCACCACAGTCTGTCTTCACCACAGTCTCTGTCTTCACCGCAAGTCTGCTCCACCGCAGTCTCAAGCCTTCACCGCAGTCTTGTCTTCACCACAGTCTGCCTTCACCACAGTCTTGTCTTCACCACAGTTCAGTCTTCACCACATTGTCTTCACCACAGTCCTGTCTTCACCACAGTCTTGTCTTCACCACAGTCTAGTCTTCACCACAGTCTCGTTCTCACCACAGTCTCGTCTTCACCACAGTCTCGCCTTCACCGCAGTCTTGTCTTCACCACAGTCTAGTTCACCACAGTCTGTCTTCACCACAGTCTCGTCTTCACCACAGTCTCGCCTCACCACAGTCTCGTCTTCACCACAGTCTCGTCTTCACCACAGTCTCGCCTTCACCGCAGTCTCAGGTTCTCACCACAGTCTCACTTTCACCACAGTCTCGTCTTCACCACAGTCTGCCTCACCACAGTTCAGTTCCTCACCACAGTCTCAGCCTCACTGCAGTCTCGTCTTCAATTACAGTCTCGTCTTCTCACCACAGTCTTGTCTCTTTCACCACAGTCTAGTCTTCACCACAGTCTCTGTCTTCACCACAGTCTCTGTCTTCACCACAGTCTCTGTCTTTCACCACAGTCTCTGTCTTCACCACAGTCTCGTCTTCACCCACAGTCTTCTGTCTTCACCACAGTCTGTCTTCACCACAGTCTGTCTTCACCACAGTCTAGTTCCTCTCACCACAGTCTCTGTCTTCACCACACAGTCTCGTCTTCACCACAGTCTCGTCTTCACCACAGTCTCGTTCTCTTACCACAGTCTGCCTTCACCACAGTCTCGTCTTCACCACAGTCTTGTCTTCACCACAGTCTCGTCTTCACCACAGTCTTGTCTTCACCACAGTCTCGTCTTCACCACAGTCTCGTCTTCACCACAGTCTCGTCTTCACCACAGTCTCGTCTTCACCACAGTCTCGTCTTCACCACAGTCTCGTCTTCACCACAGTCTCGTCTTCACCACACTGATAAAACTGACCATTACCAAGATCAAATATGTCTTCCCTTTGAGTGCCTATAGATGGTAGATTTGTCCCCCTGATGCCGCCACGGTAAAATGGGCCTTAGTTATGCGGACGCGTAAGGTCCATTATGGTGAGTTTTGGGGGATGGTCTTCAAGCCTCGGCGCTGATCTGATGCCCTTTTGTTCCTTTATGACGATTGTGGTGGTGGAGGTGGTGGGTGTTGGAGGTGGTGGGTGTTGGTGGTTGTGGTGGTTGGGTGATGGTGGGTGTTAGTAGATAATCATGGTTGATGGTGGTTGTAATGGTGAATTAAATTTTTCAATTTTGCCGCAGGCAACGGCTAGTTGTTGAGCACCCCATACTCATCCTGTGAGCGGCAGCACAAAATGGATTACAGAGTAGAGTTCACACAGGGTGTATATGCCAGTCCCCAGTCCCCAGGATATTGTGGCGCTGAATGTTACAGAATATTTCCAGTACAATGTTTATTTGTGTACATAAGAGTTGACTTATTCACATCTGCCGGATGTCTATCGGTTACAACATATGGTGATATAGTTATTTGTTTTGTATACTGTACATGTTTCACTTGATACATCTCATTATGGTAGATAACGAATTGACTGTTTATTACGGGCATTAGCCCACCGGGACGCAGGTCACCGACCCACATCGGGGCCAGGGAGGCAAAAAAAATTGAACCATAAATAAATACAAAAGTGAAAAAAAAATGATCAAGAGTGAAAAACGAAATACATTATAATTATGTTGTGTTGTCAAAGTAAGAGAAACAATTGTGTGTAAATGAGGCGGAAAGTCAGACAAGTGTCTGTTTGCACTTGTCTGCTTGCGTCAAATTCATCAACAAGTTCTTTCCTGATTACAGTTGAAAGGGTTCCGTTTGACAGACCCAGATTGTATTCAACAATTAGACGATATTTTGGCGAGGACATCAACTCTGTCATGTTCTCGGAGGCCTGTGTGAGATGGGATCCACCGCACCTTAACCTTGACACACGCGCGTTGAGGGTAGTCTAGGGCAAGTAGTGAAGACAAGGAGTCAGTGATGATGATGAGACTGTCTGTTTTATGAGTCTGGCAACAAATGCAGTCTGTAGAGTGGCTGCCCCGTTATTGAGTCTAATTCCTTACTCTATTGTATTACCGTTAGGCTGAGTCACAACGATAGCACTTCCAGCCCTCCCACAGGCAGTGTTAAGAGATCCATCAGTGGAGATGGTCTGCGAGATGTTACACTTTGGTGATGTGTTGGAGATAAGGACTGTGTGTAATTAGTCGTTTAGACGGGTATGTACAGTAGGTATTGTTGTGTCTAAGGAAACTGTCCGCCAGGGTGATAGGAAGCGTTGCCGTGTCTCTGTTTTAATACAGCTTGTCTTGTGGTGGTTGGTGGAGGTGGTGGTAGGTGATGGTGCTAAACGACTAGTGTGACGATGATACTAGATAGTAGTAGTAGTAGGACCTCACAGCAAATATGTTGAAAGAAATCTGCCGGGATGTCATGGTAGAACCGACCCTCCTTCCTTTGGATGGTGAGATCTTCCAAAACAGGACTTCAAACACATCTAACGAAGCCCGTGTTGATGTCAGTGTTCGAGGATTCTGGAAGCGGGGACAGCGAGCTTTCTTCGACATCAGGATTTTTGATCCCATGGCCGGATGTCACCGTAACCTAGCTCTCGATGCTGCACACAGGAGGAACGAGAACGACAAGATAAGGGCATATACTGTAGGGAGAGAATTCAAAACGTTGATCAAGGCAGCTTCACTCCTCTCGTGTTCACAACCTCTGGTGGGATGGGACCAAGTGCAAGATGTTTCTACGCCAGAGTCGCGGAGGTGATCTCCGAACAGAAGCAGCAGCCCAGAAGTTATGTTACAGCCTGGATGAGATGTCGACTGTCTTTCTCTCTCCTTCGGTCGGCTTTGCTCTGCCTCAAGGGAACGAGAGCTTCTACCCCAATGCCGGCAACTGCTGCAGATATTGACTATGAGGCTACAGTCACTGAATGCCGCATAGATCTGCGGCTCAACTAATTCAACACAGACAGGATAGCTACTTATGTATTAGGATATTTAATATTAAGATAATAAAATGGCGGCGAAGGTGTGGCTATTGGGGGAGGCTGGAGGCCACGTTTAAAAAAAAAAGTAGTAGTAGTAGTAATAAAACACATCCCAAAGGTCAATCAAACACAAGACAACAGTTGGTATGACTCACCAAAGGCCTCCAGAGAGAAGGGTCGCCGTGTTTAAAGGCCAAGATGAACCATAGGGCCAGATGATTAACTATTCACCTACAGGTAGAATAACAACGTGAGGTATAAAGGTCAACCCATGAGACACACCAAATAGCTAGTTAGTGTGCCCATGACATAACCCAATAGACACATGACACCAACAGATCGATAAGTCATGATAGTTGATAGTTCATGACGCCAACCACCACCCCCCGACCATTTCACTGAACCTCCCAATCCGTCCGTCAATGAGTCGGCCACTGGTACATAAAACTCACCACACTGCACCAACTTATGCCAAGCCACGGCCCACCGCTCAAAATCCATCTCAGGGATTAGTTTCGGCACAATTTTGACGGCTTAGAGAGTCAACCTGATGCATATTGGTGACCCGGACAGATCTGTATAAAGTTATTATTTTTTACGAAATTTGGGATCTCCTTAATTGGGTTCATGTTGTGATGATGATGATGATGATGATGATGACGATGATGATGATGATGATGATGATGATGATGATGATGATGACGATGATAAAATGATGATGATGAAGGGGGAGAGGAAGGGGGAGAGGAAGGGGGGAGGAAGGGGAGAGGAAGGGGGAGAGGAAGGGGAGGAGAGGTAGGGGTTCCACAATTCTCTTTGTCGATTTACGATTTGGGCGTTCCGGATTGTTTCTCGCACCTTAAACCCGGAACTATGAGGACACAGGATTGATGTTCTTGAGAATTAGTGAGTGCTAATGATTGTACACACACACACACACACACACACACACACACAGGGGACAAAATCTCTCTCTCGTGTTTACAATTCGCTTAAAGAACGGACGGACGGACGGACGGAGTGTTTAATACAGTGTGCTGACTCATCTTGCCCAATCATATCGCAGCATTTGAAGGAGAATAAAAAAATCGTTCCTGCTGGAGGTGAGCTTCTCTTGCCACCTTCGTCAGTAGATATGATCAAAAGCGGCTCTTACTGTGGCCCAGAGTGACTCCTCTCCTCCCCAGTACCTCCCGTCTCCCCCTTGTAAGTCGTGTTCTTTTCCCCTTCTTCCTTCCCTTGTCGTTCAGGTCGTGTCTCCCCTTGTTATGTGTCATGTTCCCCCTCCCCTCTTAGTACCCTTCCCCTCACCCCCACCTTACCATTCTTCACCCCCCCCACCCCTCTCTTCCCCTCACCCCCCTTTTACCGTTCACCCCGCCCCTCATCACCTCTTTGTTCGCATTCACCCCACCCCTTCCCCCCCCACCTTACCGTTACCCCACCTCTCCCCTCCTCATCCCCCAGCAGTGAGGGGAGTGTGAGGGCAGACACTCGCCCACCATCTCTGCCTAATGATGCGAGACATAACCTGCCATCTACACCGGAAATTAGACCTACCTATCATGGTCTTCCTATCATGGTCTTCCTATCATCTAACCCTCATCACCATCAGCCCCAGTGTGTGTGTGTGTGTGTGTGTGTGTGTGTGTGTGAGTGGAAGTGAATGTGTGTGTGTGTGTGTATGTGAGTCAAGAGCTATACCTTCAATATTACAATAGTAAAAAACCTTGGTTGAGTCCTTCATCTCTATAGGCTTTCGGACTGTACACGATATTTCACCCCACCAAGGTTTTCTCTCTCTCTCTCTCTCTCTCTCTCTCTCTCTCTCAATATGTATATATACTGGTATATATATATATATATTATGTGACAGTCTTCTACAGTTTGCTGTATTGTAGCTACCAGGCGTTGTTACCCCCCCACACACACACAGTGCTTTAGTCAAGAAGAGACTAGTGGGTCAATCATCAATCATTCGCGTTTGACAAAATGGAAAGGTGATGGCAGCTTCCCTTTGCCATATGACACTACGACATGACACTATATGCCATATGACACTACAACATGACACTATATGACACATGACACTAAAAAACAACACCTGACACTATGACACTATACTGTAAAACATCACGGACGGGGAGATAATGTGGGCGGAGAGACACCACGGACGGGGAGACACCACGGACGGGGAGTTACCACGTGCGTCATCACCCTCACACGACACTCTCCCTTGATCATCTCCTCTCCCTCTCATCCTCCTCCTCCTCTCACCCTCCTCCTCCTCCTCTCCCTTTCCTTCTCTCCACCTCTCCTCCTCTTCGTTGACGTCCGCTTTGTCTTCCTTCAGTCTCTTGTCTTCTCCCCTCCTACCTCATCCCAGTAAGGACCAGCACCTCCCTCTTCTCCCCAATAAGTAAACAAACACCCCTATCTCCCCTAGTAAACACCCCCAACTTATCTCCCCACTTCTCCCCCAAGGTTAAAAAAGTCTGATTCACCCCCTCTGTCCCTCCCTCCCCACCCCTCCCCTCTTACCCTTCCTGTTGTTTACCCCTACACACACCTGTTGTTTACCCCTACACACACCTGTTGTTTACCCCTACACACACCTGTTGTTTACCTGCCGAGGTCACCCTACAGTAGAAGTGACAGTATAAGTTTGTCAATAATACCCTCGCCCTTGCTTCACCCTGTTACCTCTCCTGCTTCGCCAGTTTGAATGTGTTAATCTCTTGCCTCGCCCTTCCTAACACACACACACACATTCTTCCCCCTCCCCTCACCCCCCACACGTTCCTCCGGCATCAATAATTTCAATTTACAAACGTCAAAATTTACTTCCCATTACCCCCAATTCTTGATCACCCTCAGTGTCCTGTCACCACAGCCCTCCCTCCCCTCTCATCCCCCTCCCATCCTTCTCATCCCCCTCCCACATCCTTCTCATCCCCTCCCCACCTCCCCTCCCT